AAAAAAAAAAGAATACGAGCCATATATAAATTCAGAGAGGGGACTGTCTGAAAAAATAACGTCATTCATGCAAACTTTAACCTTGCTTTGTGTATTTCTTTCTCATTTCGCAATCATGGCTTGGAGATGTTCAGGTATTTATGTAAAACAAGTGTTGTAAATATGATTCTAATCCAAAAGAAATATAGCCGAAACAAATCTTGAACTAGTCAAGAACTTATTTGACTCACGTATAATAACAAAGGAAAGAGTATTCGCAGCTATGAAGGCTATTGACAGGTATTATTAGAAAAAAAAAAAAAGACATAAGGATTAACCTTTTTTTTTAGAAAGGATTATTCTCCCAAGTACCCATACGAAGACAGTCCTCAGTCGATTGGATATGGTGCGACCATATCTGCGCCGTAAGCTTCTTTAGACACAGTTACATATGCGTAGATTAACAAGATAGACATATGCATGGATATGCCTTGGACAAGTTGGAACCCTTTCTCCAGCCTGGCATGAAAGGTAAAGAGACAATCACAATTCTATTCCTTTGTTAAGTCTTTGTCAATAAAGCATTGGACATTGGATCTGGATCTGGATATTTGACAGCTTGTATGGCTGCTATGGTAATAACAAGATCATTGTTTAACATGCACAAACTAATCATATATATATATATATATATATATATAAAGGTTGGAGAGACAGGACGAGTGGTTGGTGTTGAGCATATTCCAGAATTAGTCGAATCTTCAAAGCGTAATGTCCAAAAGAGCCACAGTGACTGGTTGGAGTCTGGCCAAGTCAAGCTTGTCGAAGGAGATGGACGACTTGGATATCCATCCGATGCGCCCTATGACTGCATGTAATATATAAATACTATATTTTTACTTCAATTCAAATACTAAATTATATATAGCCATGTTGGTGCCGCGACTCCAAGTACACCACAAGCACTCATCGATCAATTAAAATCGCCCGGAAGGTAAAGACACTGAACAGATCAAACATGATGATAACCCCTCCAAAAAAAAATAGACTATTTATTCCCGTAGGAAAGTACTCGCAATCCATCATCATCTATGACAAGGATAAGGATGGAAATGTTCACGAAACCAAGTTTTTGGACGTACAATATGTGCCATTGACGGATGCAAAGGCGCAAAGAAGCTTCCATCACCTCGGATAAGAAAATAACCGATAGCAAGAATGGATAAATGTTTAACATCTCTTTTTGTGCTTTTAAAAAAATAAAATAAAAAAAAGCTCTTTCTTTCCCTTTTTCATTGTTGTAGAACACCATTTTTTCTTTGTAAAGTGATAGAAGGATGGACCAGAATCAACTCAGGAAAAGAGTGAGAACCACGCGAGCTTGTGTCTATTGTCGAAAGAAGAAGGTGCGTGTGTTTGAGGTCCCCTTTTGGGAAAATATGGAGAGAGAAAGGGGGTAATTAATGCATTTAAAATAGATAAAGTGTGATGGCCGTCATCCCACGTGTTCAAACTGTCTTCAGCTTCAATTGAATTGTGTGTATGCAGAGAGCAAGAAGAGAGGACCACGTAAAGGATATGTACAAACATTGGAGGAAAGACTTACAGAAATGGAAAAAAGATTGACGACCAATAACGGATTGATAATGCCTTCTACCAGTTTATCACCCATTCAACCTAGTTTTTCAACGATACATAACGATATGGAGTACGATCTTCCATCAAAAGAGATAGTAGATCATCTTGTGGATATATTCTTTAAGCATATCAATGCCTTTTTACCATTTGTGCATCGTTCTATCTTGAAGAAGAGTATCCAAGAAGGGACGATATCACGTCCATTATTATATAGTGTATTAGCAACCAGCTCTAGGTAAGATTTCATCATTGGAGAAAGATCACGCCACATATACACACACTCGCTAAAGACACAACTTATTTTAGATTTTCAGATCATCCTTCCATTCGTACAGACCCGCCTTATCTGGCATGCGAGCGATTTGCTAAAAAAGCATTGTCTCTAGTCGACGCTAGTACTCTACAGCCAACCATGAGTAACATACAGTTCTGGGGCATTATGTCTTTTCTGGAATATGGGCGCGCATCGGGAACAATGTAACTTAATATTTGAAAAAATGGAAATTAAGTTAATCTGTCTTTTTATAGGTCGTGGGTTTACGGAGGATTAGCTGTGAGGTAAATATACAACATACACTTTACAAGAAAGAGAGGCTTTTAACAAGAGCGAAATATTAGATTTTGTCAAGAATTGGGATATCATAAAGAAGAAATACAGAGTACACCGGTCGTCGGAAAGGACGGGTCTGTTGACGCCTTTGAAATGGCAATGCGACGACGCATATACTGGAGCTGTCTTGTTCTTGATAAGTAATGTGTGACACAAGTTATATATTTCGTAAATCTTATTTCTATCTTAGAATGGCCAGCGCAGGCACACATCGACCTCAATGCATTGAAAGGTCCGACTGTGATGCTCGTCCATCCAGTTTTGCAGAAAACATCTTACTTCGCGACCCAGAACTTCATACAAACATCCAGGGAAAACCGATCCAGGAGGATTCATTACTGAGTGCCAGTGTTTATTACATGAGTTGTTTAGAAAAGTTTGGAGAGGTCAATCGGTACATGAACAGAATAAGCAACAATAAGCTGAGATCCATCGTATGGCCGCCGATCGCTGAGCATCGAAACCTTGATAATCAACTTCGTGCATGGCAAGAGAGCTTGCCTGAAAAGTTCAAATTTACACAAAGCAATCTAGAGCATCATCAGACGTCTGCAAGTGCTCAGAATTTAACCACTTGGCTTTCGTCGCATGCCCTGTGGTGTTCTAGTATGATGATGTTGCATAGAGGCAGTTTAGCTTACTTTGATATATCACACCAAGTTGGAGAAGAAATGTATAGGCGTATACAGGCGAGTGTTGAGACTTGTCATATGTGTGTGGATGCAGCGATGGGCGTCTTTGGCGCCATGAAGGATCTCTGCCATTATAACGTTCTGCCCTATAACGGATACTCTGCCTATATCTTTGCAACCGCACTCATGACATCTGCCTTTTCACAGACTCAGGAAGATCGTGAAAAGAGTAGCAGAGGCTTACAGATATTATATGAACTTATTGAAGTAGGTTGTCACGTAAAAGAAGCATTTCATATATTCACCTTTTTTTTATGAAAGGGACTCTCCCCATACTGGCAAATGTGTGAAAAACTAGCAAAGGCAACCAAGGAATTACTGATAAATCACAAGAGATTATATGGGAATAGTCTATACAACAGCTATGAGAACCACAGAATTGATATGATGCCAACCATGGAAAACTCAGCATCTCTGTATTCTTCACAGCATTATTACGTGACTGGAGACAATAACGGTTTTAATCCAGAGATATATAATCAGCATACATCTATATTATCATCAGCATTAAATTCTCAAGAGAATAGCATAGACTTCAACAGCATTGAGTTCTTGTTTGATACTGAATTATTTGGTCAAGTTGTTCTTGGTTCAGGAAATGCAAATGCTCATAATCTGTCCAATGTACCCATTTCATAAAGCAAAACATTACTATTTCAAATGTGTTTATAGCAGAATAAAACATATGTATAAAAAGAAAACTTTATTAGATAGGAAGGTCATCTTTGACATTCCAAATGCCTGTGTTTCTTTCAATGTAAATATTTCGTTTATTATCAAAAGTGTATAAATGTGTATGTATGTTTATAGTTTAGTTCCATAAAATAATTAGCTTCATATATAAATAAAACAGGAAATATCTTTCCGCTATTAAGCACATAGTAAAAAAAAAAGGGTAGTCCATTTAAAGACTGGATCACCCTTCAAGGAATCTTAAAAGGAGTATATAAATGCGTATATATATATCTTGGGGTTATCATGTACTTGAATTACTTACTGCAGTTGGAGGTTTTAATGCAGATGAACGCTTAGCGAGCATACTTCTTAATCTTAATGTGGAACCAGGTCCACGTTGTGAAGGAGGTTTTAGTAGTGATTTCTTTCCAGCGTCGGGTATAGCAGAAGAATCTGATGTTCCTGTTGCTGTTGATGTTGATGGAGTAGTAATCTTTTTCTGCTGGGAAGTGGTAGAAGATGTATTGGTGACGACAGCTGTTGCATTTGTCACTGCCACGTGAGATGCGATAGTGGTAGATACGTTCTTACCAGGTGATATAGGTGAGGTAACTGGCTTGGTCGAATGCTGAGTTACAGATGTTGTCCTAACACGTGGTAGACCAATATTTGCCTTAACGGGTGTCAGCCGAGGACCCGCTGACTGGCGGTATGGTTTTTTATTGGAGGCTGCAGTAGGAGTTGGTGGGAGCACAGGAGACGGGATTGAACTTTCTTTGGCAGTCTCATTAAATTTAGTAGCAATCGAAGGTGTTCTGTTATGTCTTGATGTCTTTGAAGATGCCGTACTTTCGTTAGATAGACTATATCTCATGCTGGCTGTCTTCGTCTGCCCGGAGCTCGATGGCGTTATGTTTGAATTACTGGATCGATCATCATATAAAGACAGGCGTGCAGTAGGAGTTGCTGACTATTTATGTGCATGTGAATAAGCATATGAATGTATTTGGTCATCATGCAACTTACATTTTTCGCTAATGAACTATCTTCTCTATCCAAGATGGCGATGATATTTTCGCCGTTTATCAGAAGTGGTGCATTCCTTGTATAAGTCTTCCAAAGTGTTACACCTTCTCTGATCTTTTCTCCTAGCTAAAAGAGAGAGAGACAAAAGTTATTATCAACTTCCCATTTAAGACAATATGCTTGTAGATTACAGTTTTAATTTCATCCAAGTTATTTCTTCTCCTTGCGCTTCTCATCAATATATTTCTTCTCTTCATGTTGCTTTTAGCAGATAAGGAAATCGTTTTGGCGATATCAAGATCAACGTAAGCTTTTTGGAGTACCTCATAGTCATCTAGAACGAGTTCATTAGTATGTAATATAAAAAAGACTGCATAAGATTGTTTACCTGTTGTACCAATGGTAGAAAAGAACTTTCCGGAATCCAGTTCCAATTCCCTCAATAGATTATCTAATTTCCTCAAGATATGCTTCGTATCAGGCTTGTATCTGATTCTGGTCGTGGATAATCTAGCATTACTCTATGTAATCACATGTATGCCAAAAAGTAAATCATCTTGTTTAATATATAAAAAAAGGTTCTTACAGCTCGCTTCTCTGTTGAACTGACAGTGTCCACTCCGTTACTACTCGTGCTTGTGGTCGAAGGTCGACGAATAAAAGATACTTTACTATTTACGTTATTGTTGTTGTAAATACTTGTTGCAGACTTGATGGCTGAATCAAGACATGCTTCAGCATTCATCAATAAACTTTCCTTTGCAGAATTAGATAAGCCAAGGTCTTTCAGCATGGCTTCTATCTGGGCAGTAGTTGATTCAACAGTAGCAATGGCTTGGTTTGTAAGTTCAAGCTGGGCTAGTAATTCGTTCAATTCGGCAGTCTTTAGGGTCAAAATAGACCGTAAATTCATAACTGTCTGTGTGCCTTCATCAAGCCTTGCTAGAAGCATGGCAACTGCATTGTCATTCGTAGATTGTTGTTGTTGTTCTTTTATGGGTGCAGGTGCTGAAGCAAGTAATTGTGAATCAACATTGACATCCATATCGTTAAGATAATTTGCACCTGAGAAAAAAAAAAGAAGGGAAACAGATAAAAAAGGTTTATATCAAGCGAGCGTCGGAGAATAAAATTATATTTTCATTTTGCGCATCAATGTTTTGCCTACGAGAGGCTTTATTCATTGTGTTCAAACTTGACAACATTTTAAACTTTCTCCTTTTTTTCTCCCATTTTTTAAAAGCAAGATAGGATCAACTAAAGATCACTTGACGCGCAACTATGATGGTACTTTATATATTAGTATTCTACATAAAAATATCACGATATATATATAACTGAATCATAGCTTTGGAAGGACACAAAGACTTAATTGTTTTTGGCGCAAATATTGTCACTTTGCAAAAATTAAATGTTCGTTACTAAAAAATAAAATTCACTTTGCTAAAATTAAATGGCACTTTGCCAAGGAGCTTTGTCATAATAAGTTAAATCAAATTGACCAGAAAAAAAGATATAAACTTAAGACTTTAATACCGATTAATTTCTTCTCTTTTTTAAAAAACGAGTAATGACAACTACTTTCTTTTACGAAGATGGACAGGAAAATATCTACACCGAACAAGGAATAAAAGTGCTTGATCCTATGGAGGATATTTTAACACAGACCACAAATCCTAACATTGTTTTTGGGCTATTACCAATCAAGGTGCCTATTTAGCAACCCGCAAATATATTGAAGATAACAATGTGAAAAAAAGCGATAATATAAAGATGAAGGCTATCACTAAAGCAAACTCAAAGCGGGCTACTACCTACAATGAGTACAACGATATGACAAGAGAGAAGTTCATAGATCGAATGCTCGAAAGTTCTGAGGAAAAAGGAAGAATACCTCGATTCGCGAAGGAGTTTGACATCGAAACTCGTACTGTCCGACGATGGTGAGAGCATTACTAAGAAACAAAAGTGCCATATAAACTATCAGAGAAGAGGACTGGCCGTAAAAGCTCCTTCACATTTGAACACAAGGAGTACATTCGAAATCTACTTGACAAGGACTCTCAGCTTTACACTGAAGATATTATTGACAATTTATCTAAACAGTTTACTGGGCTTTACACTTCAGACGCAACTTAACCAACATTTGAGGAACAATATGCTCGTGACCGTTAAGAGACGTACATTTGAACCCGAATTTAGAAACTCTGCCGACAATCTACAAACAAGATATGAATGGTTTATGAAATAGAAAGATTCTGGTTTAGATTTTACAAAAAACTGTGTCTTTATTGATGAAGCTGGATTTCATATTAATTTGACGAACAACTAAGCCAGATCTGACATTGGAACGCCCGCCATAGTAAAGACACAAAAAAGTAAAGCCCTATCACATACAGTCGTTGGTGCTATACGATTAAACAGTCTTTTATTTACAATTAAAGCCTCAAGTGGGCGCACGATAATAATATATCTTCTTCGCCCGAGGCAGATCAAAAAAGAATGAAGAATTGGTAACTAAAAAACCCTTATGAGACCAAGGGTAAAAAAGTTATTGAAGGAATGATGTTGGGGCAAGTGTAAGATACACTAGTGAGGACAACGAGGGAGCCAATTGAGAAGCTTTTGCCCAAGGTGTGGGGGCGAAGAAGGTGAACACTTCTGATGATGGAGGTAGTCAAGTTCATGAAGAAGAGCGCATATAGCTGGCCAACGAATGGTCCATGGGAGAGCGGCTTGAAAGGAGCGTGGTTTCTTCAAAGGTAGCA